CTCTGCTGACCTGCTTAGATTAATCTCCTCAGAGTTAGTTATTTCTCCATCCTTTATTGTTCTCAAGGCAGTTGGATTTGTGAACACTCTGTGGAGATATTTTCTGGGTGTGAACACAGAAATAGACCCGTGTGAAAATAGAGGACTGCGATACATTGCTCTTGAGGGTTTTGTTGAGTACATGGCACCCAACTGTCCCTACTTCCTTTTCAGTCATCCATCTTTTTTGGTTTCAAATCCTTCTGTCCCTCTTACCTTTTCATTTGTTCCTCGTTTTGGTCTTCTGTACATACCTCTATTAAAATGTACTATTCAACAACTATGTATGTGTGTATATATGTGTATATATATATATATATATATGTATATGTATGTATATATATTTATATATATATATTTATATTTATATTTAATTTTTTTTGTTTTTTTTTACCAAGCAAATACGAACCTGTCATCCACTCTCTCTGCTCTGATTAGTGGACAGATTCCCTGCTGCTTCCCCTAAGGCTTTTAATATATTCTGTTTAACCCTTTGACGTCGACGTCACACAAATATGCATCCTCACGGAACTGGGCTTTTTTCCGTGGGGCCACATATTTGCGTACCTGTCTTTGTGCTGGGAGCGCGCTCCCAGCACAAAGACCGCAGCGTCACTGAGAGCCCCGGGTCCCGTTTTAACAATCGGGATCTGAGACTTCCGATTCCGGGTCATATGATCGCTGTGATAGCCGCTGATTGGCTATCACAGTGATCAGTCACTGTGCAGCCCGGCCCCCTTGTTTTTTTTCTCTCTATGAATGGAGACGAGAGATACATTGTATCTCTCTAACTCCTGCATAGAGAGAAAAAAAAGTTTGTTTAAAACAAAAAAAAGGTAAATAAATATAAAAAAAAATAAAGAAACAATACTTAGATCAAGGTTTGATCTAGTTCAGGGTTAGTGTTTGGGTTAGGGTCAAAGGTCAGGGTTTAAAAAAAAATTGGTATCAGTGTCAGTTAGTGTCATTGTCAGTGTGTTTTAGGTAAAAAAAAAAAAAAAGACAAAAACAAACTGCGCACTACTGTTTCTGGGCTGTACTATGGGTACAAACAACAAATAGAAACACACAGCTAAATAAAAAAAAATAATTTTTTGTTACTATTTTGGCCAGTTTTCCTTTGATAAAAAAAATCAGGAGATATCCATTACCATTTACCACCAAATGAAAGCCCAATTTGTCCTGAAAAAAATGCGGTATAATTCACCTGGATGTACAAAGTAGTTGTGGTGATATGTACGGTTTTTACTAACACATGTCAACATTGCAAAATTGTGCTTAGGCATTTAGATTTGTTTTACCCTTAGGGGGTTAATGCATCCAATATCTATTTAGTAGAGTTAAACTGAAGGTTCATTTGGATTGGAGAGCAAGTTAGGTATGGCAGTTCCCATATTTCTGTACTCGGTTCCACTTTAAAAACACAAGGGATTGTTTAAAAAAATGTTTATATGCAGTCAGGGGTACCTGCAATAAAAATGCCCTCATATCAAGGGGTGCTTAGGGAAACACCAGCTTTTATAAACAATTACATATTTTAATACAGTATAAAAAAACTGTTCTCAGCCATCTACAACCCTTTTGAATATAAAAACTGCATGTCATTAGTGGTCTGAATGCCTAGGCAGAGAGTAGCTAGGATAATGTGCTGCCCCAGGTTTAATTAAACATAGTGTCAATTTGCTTGGACATTGTGTTGGTTTTTTTTCCATTGATGAGAAATTGTATACCCTTAGCAGGAGGACTAGACTTATACCATTGTCATCATTTTTTACCGTGTGATATCCTAATTTAATTAGCTGCAGTGTCTCATTTATTATAACAAGATAATTGGTGTTTTCCTGAGTAACAGAAGCACAGGAATCAGGGCAAACAGTATTGAAACCAGCTTGACTCCAGCCTGGTAATTAGGAGTCAGGATATTTTGTCAGGATATTTTATAAGTCTAACAGATTGCTAAGAAAAGAGAGTACATTATATTCTTAGTATAGTCTATCCTTTTGGCTTTGTTCCAGCATAATTAACGCTTACTTGTATAATATAGTGTCTTTTAATTATTGGAAAGTATTTTAATAGTTATATGTATGTTCAGAACATTTGAAAACAATTGATGAAGGCTCCTCATTCTAGTTATGGTTTTTCTAGACTATGTCCTAACATACAGTATTTTGCTGGTTCTTTGTTTTGAAAACAACTTAGAAATACCAATCTGCAGATTCCACTATTTATATTAATAAATGCTTCTTGAACCTTCTTTAAGTGTATACCTATACTGTAAGGTCTGGTTCTATTACTGTCCTCTTCCCATTAACGCACAAAGCAAAATAATCTATATTGCTGTAACACAATGCTCACTGTGCATTTTCAGCATAAATGCCATCACTGGGAGTCCAGACAAAGGTCAGACTATGCAGCAATGAGTCTGTTTTTAGCTACAAGCAAAACCTAGTCACTCAATAAATAAGTCATGTTCATCCATAATATTTTGGTGAAACTGAAAACAAAAATAGGCTTTTTTTAGGTAAAGGGTGTAGTTGGGGCCCTTTCACACCAGTTCACACCTTCCAGTGCATGGTAAGCAGGGTCTTGTGTTACACTGCTAAAAATTGTGCATGCATGATGTTTTGGTCTGTTTGTGGTGTGTTGGGCAGCCAATTGGAAAGAAAGGAAAGCTAAAAACACACTTTACATCAGGCTAATGGGAATGGGTCCTTTTGACATTTTTTTTGTACTTATTGATAATGTAGTGTGGATGTTTCATAAATGTTTTAGATCCAGAGCTGGTTCATGTAAATAAAAGAAAATTAAATCAAAATAGGCTATTCCTGAAACTATAAACCTTCCATGCTTCAGAGTCACTTGCATTGTATACAGCTAATTAGCAGAACATTACAGTCACATTGCCCATTTGAGTAATGTACTGCAATCAGGGCCACTGCTAGACTATTTTGCACCCTAGGCAAGACCAGCAACTTGCACCTCCCCCCCCAAAAAAAAATGTTTTTTTCAAAGACAGTAGAAAATAATAAATCAATAAAACAAACTGCTAAATTTCTTTTAATTTGCAAAAAATAAGTGCCATAAACTACCACCAGCACCAATATTAAAGACAAAATCAGTGTCACGGACAAACTGTATCTGTGGCTGAAAGTGGCAAGGTGACAGTTGCAGTGAGTGGACAATGTTGGATCCACACTGACAGATCCCAGGCTGGAATTCTCCAGGCAATGGAGGGAGATAAAACATTGTGACAGCAGGCAGCCCAGCCCACACACAGAGAACACCTGAACTGAGTGATCTCACATAGTGGCAGATCAGACACAACACACCACCACCAACACTGACACAGATCAGTAGGCTGTGGGATTGTAATGATGTCATGACTCACTGATAAATTGCATATGTAATGGATGGCCGGCCAGGTCACATTCACACAGACATGAGAAATCAGAATCAGATCTTCCTCTGCAGGCGTAGCTCTGCCTCCGCTGATGAATGGGAAGAGAAGGACTGGAACGCCGCAGTGATCAGCAGCCAACAGCCGGCTTGCAGTAAGGGGACTGAGTCTAAGAGGAACACTGGAAGGAGCTGCGGCTCAGCTGTTACACTGGCCCCAGACACCCAGCGTCTTCCTCTGTCCTTTCTTTCTCCTGCCTGCCGCCCCTCCCCTCAGCTGAAGGATCATTCATAACGTGGCAGCATCCCACACAGAAAGAGTGCTGGCCTGTGCTGAGCCTAGGGGCCCCTAGGTGGCAGTGCACTCTAGGCGGCTGCCTAGTTTGCCTCATGGAAGCACCAGCTCTGACTGCAAAGATGGGGCAGGCTCTGCAATTATGTGCTTTCATGTCTGTGTGTTTCATGGCAAATACCCTTTATTCTTGTGTTCTAAGACAATCCCTTCAGAAACTCTGCTAAAATGTTTGTAATGGCATCATACAATTTTGTGCCAGTAACCGCACTTCCTGTTGCAGTCTGACAACACTAGGCTACCGTCTTAAGCTGGCCACAGATGGTTTGATTCTTGGCCGGTTCAGCAGGGACTGGCCAAGATTCGCACCAGGCAGGCTAATTGTACCCAAGTCAATCCATCAATCGACCTGGGTACAACCAGCATGTCAGTTTTGTAACATGCGATTATTGCCAGCGGCAATAGCCACTAGCAGCAATCATTGTGTGTGTGTCCCCACCAAGAGAGCATAATCGCTCTGCTGGAGGGATTCCCCTATCAACACTGGCTGTGGTTGCCGGAAAGAAAATCTCATCATCTATGGCCTGCCTTATATTTATCCGTAGCATTGTTTACTTGTTGCATGCACTCCTTTAGTTGGCTGTTGGGCTGCCTAATTAGATTTATCAAATAGGCAGTACAACAACCAAGTGAAGGAGTGCACATGTCGGGCTGACAACACTGCTGCTGACTGTGAAGCAGGGGCTTAGTGTTGTTGGCCTACAACAAGAAGCCCTGCTATTGGCAGGACCATCAAGGAAAACAAATTCGATCTCAAAATCGATTTCAAAAGATGATTTGCTCAGGAAAAATGTATGCAGTGTGTCATGACACCAAACATGCTACATAGATTTAGGGTTTACATATACTTTAAAAGAATATAAATGAAATTTAATGTGGAAAGCATGGTATGTAAACTAAAATGAAGAGCAGTTATTTTATTTCTGTTTTACCTTCTTTCTAGCGATCTATTTACGAACCTCACATAATCTTTGAGACTGTAAGAAAGATCTGCAATGACAGGTTAAGCAGTTGCTGCAGCAAAGCTGACATTTTGTCAGGTTTAGATTTCACATTCAGCGTTTAATACTTTTTTTTAATGCTCTGACAGTTGCTTTCTAATGCATCACAGAATATAAATTTGAGAGATGGAGCTGACTACACTACATCCACCAGTATGCTAATTGTTCACCTGCACTGTAAATGAATGTAAAATATTTTTTTCTTCTTGCAGTGAACGGTTCTTTGTAAGGCTGAATAGGAATGGGCTGCCTAAATCTCCAGAGAAGACAGAAAGATACAGTTCTCTCTTTGTTGTAAGTGTGATGTCTGTGATTAATTTCTTCATGCCTACAAAACTCAAGTGGAGGCTTGTTCAAGTGTAACCATTTCAAAATGGATTGTGTTTAATTGATAAGAATTAGTGCTGCTAAAGCTGAAAATTATAACTTTTAAATGGCTGAGTTTTTATATAGCTAATAACAAACAGCGGGGTTTGTTTTATTTAGCAGGGGTGTGCACTGACCACTTTTGGTGGCCTTGGGTTGTTAGGTTAATTAATGGTCATAATGGTTCGAAGTTATATTTGTATACTATATAGTGAGGGCATTGCTCTGTATGCCTACTGTGAACACCCATAGGGGTTAATTTACTAAAACTGGAGAGTACAAAATCTGGTGCAGCTCTGCATAGAAACCAATCAACTTCCAGGTTCTTTTGTAAAAGCTTAACTGAATAAGGTGAAGTTAGAAGCTGGTTGGCTGCCATGCTAAGCTGCACCAGATTTTTGCACTCTCCAGTTTTAGCAAATCAATCCTATAATATTTTGTGAACTATCCTAATATTATGTAGACTGTGTTAGGTACCAGCAGGATTTCTCTGTTCATTTCTATTTCATCTTACTAGTCTAGTTATACTTTTCTCTAGTCTATATAGTAGAATGTTTCACATTATGAAGTAAGACCTGCAGTTATTTCATAGTCATGAAATGCTTTCCTATTTATTGTATCTTTTGAAAATATGTACTGGGTATATTTTTACATGAAAGAAAAAATACATCTGGAAGCAGCCAAAAACCATAGGGTGTCCTATAATTCAATGCATGTTATCTTACTATAACACAAGAAAGACCAGATGTCCTGAGCTTTGGATATTGCAGTTACTGTGATTTTAAGATCATGTAGTGCATATACTATATGCTCATTATATACTGTATAATCTTTGCTACCAACCAATGGGATTCAAAAAGTGTGACTTTAGTTATGGGGCAGTATGTTTTAAAATTATTAAATTGTGAAACATTTTAACGGAGCTATTCACATTCACCAAAGGTGAAACCTGACTTGATTAGCACAGAATAGTTCTCCCTCTGGTGATCCATACTTTTGCTTGTGATCCTCAGTTTCAGATTTTTTTTCTGCTGTACAATTGCAGCTGGGAACTCTGTTATATTTCCATTTCATTTTTGTTTTGTCTCTTTGGACAGTGATTTATGCAGGGCCGTCCTTAAGGAGGGGCAAATGGGGCAGCTGCCCTGGACCCAGTCATTGTTGTGGGCCCCAAAACAGCTTCCCCATACTTGCCAACTGTACCGGTTTACATCCCCTTGTCCCTTTGAAGTCTTGGTCCTGGGCTGTGTCCAGATATCTCAGTGTGAAGTGCTGTCACTTATGTTGCCCAGCTCTGCCCTATTGTCATGTATACATGTGATGTGCAGTAACCTCTAGCAACCAATCAGTGAGCAATAATGATGTGCAGTTACCTCTAGCAACCAATTAGTGAGCAGTAAGGATATGTAGTAACCTCTAGCAGTCAATCAATGAGTGGTAATGATGTGCAATAATCTCTAGCAGCCAATCAGTGAGCAGTAATGATGTGCAGTATTCTCAAACAACCAATCAGTGAGTGGTAAGGATGTGCAGTAACCTCTACCATCCAATTAGCAAGCAGAAATCATGTGCTGTAACCTCTAGCTGCTATTTATATGTCTCCGAGCAGGTGAAGAGTGAAATTCCATGGGAGGGCCCAAGAAAATGTTTGCCCAGGGTCCAATCAATATTTAAGACGGCCCTGGATATATGTCTGAATTTATGGATAAGATACATACGTAAGGGTACAGAAGATAGACATTGACACAGTTTCCTACAAAAGAAGTTTAATGTGGGACAATTTAATTTTAAAATAAAAAGGAGACCCATATGTGAAAGTAGGATGTGTGTAAATACCAATATTCCTATTCAGTGATTGGTGATTACAAATTGTTATGTTTTAGAAATTAATTAGAATTAAGAAATTAATCAGAAACCAGAAAATTTCAGAAACGTTAAGAATAAATCATTTACAACTGATATTTTTTCTCATGTCTTTGCTTTTCAAAATTAAATGATTAAAGTGTAGTTTTGTGAAAAATCATCTGAGATGACATGTAGACAAGGGCGCGCGCCTGTTAGGGATTTATGATTAAGTAACCAGTCATTCATCTTTCTAGACAAAATCTGACTGCCTGTATGCTTAGAGCTAGTAGTCTGTGTTATGTTGTATCTGAAATATGTACTAATCATTGCTCGAGTTAATGTTTTAATGACGAAAGCATTTTGTTTTTCAGGACTTGAGTTCAAGTGACCTTCGGAAAGACATTTTCATCACTGTACATATTATCAGAATTGGTAAAAAAAATAAACTTTTAATAAATGTGGCACTTTTCTTTTAAAACATAACAATTTATTCGTTTATCTTGCTCATTCAAGGTGTGGAGAAAAATTGCCATTCCCTAGATACGATTTATAACAATGCTAGGATTCTGGAATATCTCTGCAGACTGCTGCATTCACTTGCTTTTTTCATGTTTCCTTATAGCACTTTGTAATGTTTTTGTTAGACATGTATTATTCTCTTTTTTTGGATGTTCTCTTTTGGGTTTTTTCTTCTTTTTTTTCCCCCGGTTTTGGCTGACTGGTACCTGCATGCATTTGTACGCTTTGCCCATCCTTTGCTATGGCATCCTTGCATTGTTTTAGTCTTTGACTCATATGGTCCAGCAGTGCTCCTTTCCTCCTCTGCAAACTGCAGGAATCAGTCACATTCAGATTACAATTATCCTTTTTTTCTGCTTTTTTCTTTTCAGTGTGTTTTTTGTTTTTTTTGCTGCTGCATCTTACACATATCTCTGTTGCTCTTTCATTTATATGTAATACCTTCAATCACTCTTGAAACAGTTTACTTTGCATCCAGTTTATTTCACCTAATTTGTGTTTCCTACATTTGAGCACCTTTCCACCTCAACAGTCCAAACAAAGCTTCATGCCCTAGAGATGCTGCTTCTCAGATGGAGGAAATAATGTCATCTGACATCTGGATTTTATTACACTTAGCAAGGTGCCTTGAAGTGCCCTTCAACTCCATTTAAGATATTCCAGACCCTAAGCAAGGTGTACAACAGACTTTCAAAAAAACTGTGTACAAATGACTGTCCACATCCAGAATGGGCAAAATTCTGCTCAGAAACTGAAGTAAAAATGTATATATTTTTTAAACTTTTGTTTTATAATTCATTATTACCATGTATTGCACATTCCTATACAGCTCTGCTAGCTCATTCATTTGGTGGCTCAAAGTATAAAAAATATAGTTGGGTTGTTGTGAATGGGTTGTATCATTACATGCAGGGTCCATTAGCATTAGCCAAGTCATTCATCAATGGCTTATAATTGCATTGGAAGTGCCAGCTGGTCTGTTTGAATCTTTAAATGTATTTGTAAAGTTTCTCCTCAAGGTAATGCTGGAACCACGGCTGTCTGCTCCCTCACTTCTACTGCGTGATTATAGTCATTTCAGCTGTAAATGTTTGTGAATGGATACTTGGAAAAACAATTGTTCATACCATAATACTGTTCAAACATCAGGGAAAAATAGAATTATGTGCAGTCATGTGTTTACAGTTCATTTAAAACTATTATGAGATGCTATATCTTACTTACAAATATTCTTATCTATACGTTTTGAATTTCAAATTACATTTATTTTGTATAGTGTAATCTACAATAATAATCCATTTTGCAAATGTAGTCCTGTGTTAGATGCCATTTTTGTTTATTCTTAAAGGCCGAATGGGCGCAGGTGAAAAGAAGAATCCCTCAAACGTGCAATATCGACGGCCTTTTGGTTGTGCGGCTCTCAGTATTGCTGACCTCCTGACTGGAGAATCTAAAGATGACCTCATTTTAAAAGTATACATGTACGTTACAGCGCTTTACTGTTTCTCTATGGCAGAGTTTCTCAACCTTTTTATTCCAATGGGACCCTTAAAAAATTGCCTAGGTCTTGGGGAACTCTGCTAAATATATGCAACATGAGTGAAAAATGCCCCTCACTTTGGTGGTCAGTGGGAAGAATGTCCTTTACGTTGAAAAATGTCCCTTACACTGGTTGTCATTGGAAAGAATGCAACCCTTACATTGGTGGTATGGGGGATGAATGCTTCTTACATTGGCTGTCTTTGAGAAGAAAGTCCCTTACACTGATGGTCAGTGGGAAGAATGTCCCTTAAATTGATTGGCAGTGGGAATAATGCCCTCCTTATAGTGGTGGTTAGAATTCTGCTGTTTCAGACAACTAAAAAGATAATTAGTATCATGCCACTGGCTCTGTGAGGTAGTGATGCAATTATGCAGACGGCATCAGATGGAAGGTCAATCAGCCATAGCTCAAGAAAGCCCTATAAACCTCTGAAGGAACCCTGGTTGAGAATGGCTGCCCTACAGTATTAAAAAAATTTAAACTTAAATGTGCTATATAGCTGTGATATAAAAGTAAAGTAAAACTGTCCATTTGGTGCCTAGTAGGACATGCTAAGTCAAGTAACTGATGCAAAGCAGGGTCTTTTACAACTGTGGAACAACATAATAATGATATAGCTTGCAGCAATATCTGGAAATGCTTGTAAAAATGTTGTGCTGTAATATATACAATTTCCAAAAACAGCTGTGAAGTCAGTTCTGGTCATTTCAGGTCTGGTGCTGGCTGGTGGTTGTGGGAGTAGAAGCTATCCACTTACAGTAAACGCTTGCTAAGCTGTAATGCAGAGTCAGTTTATTAAATGTACATCTTGTTAGTAAAGACAGTTTCAGCTGTTCAATCCAAGTTGGGAGGCTGTATTTTTAGGTATAGGGATTCATTCATGACTGGTGTCATCACTGATATGCAAACAAATTTAGTGAATGCATCACATAGCATGTGTGTTTACCAAGTGCAGACAAATTAATCTGTTATGTCAGTAAGATTAGCAATTGTATAACAAACCCCTCTGATCATAGTAAGTACAAACAGCGGAGAAAATGTTTTAATATGCATTTTTATAAATGTGGTTCTTTGCCATCTGTTACAACTGTACATCATACATTAATCGATTAGGGACAACTAGATTAGAGACATAAAGAATAGTATTCATTTTGTGATAATAGAAATGGAGGGAGTTCTACTTTAAAAGAAAATGCATAATGTAGTTTTATTAGCATTCTGCACAGGTGCCAGTATATAAAACTACCTTATATGCAGAATAACATCATGACCAGCATCCGCTGTAGCAGGTTATTGCATTTTTAAATTCTCTGTTTGTTCAATTTTTTTTCTAGGTGCAACACTGAAAGTGATTGGTATCAAATCCATGAAAATATTATCAAGAAAATGAATGCTCGCTATAACCTTACAGGCTCAAATACAGGTGAGGCAAATGATCCATTTACTATAGAAGTCAGTTTTTTCCATAGAGTCTCATACGGCTTGAAGTTGGCTCTTTACTTTTTAATTGTGTGACAACAGTCTTGCTGGGAATTAATTACTGAAGGGTTGCAATAATGCTAGGGTATTTGGTCAAGCGATCTTTAATGAAGGGTAGGACAAGAGAATAGAAAGACTAATCCTTTCACTTTAGCAAGTGTCATGTGACTATCTGTATCATTGTTTCGTCAGGTGAACAGCACAGGAGAGACTATAGAGTAGCATTTCTAGCATGATAAGATATTTCAACTATTTTGCTCTATGCAGGAAGCTAAAAAAATCTTCAGTGTGCAGCTTCCCCCTCTGCCCTCTCTAATGCTTACCTGAGCCGATCTCAATCCAGCGATGTGCACGAGAGCAGCAGCTCTCCTGGGTTTCTCTCTCCTCAAAAAATGTGAACCTTTAGTGTTACTTTCATTTTTACAAATGTTTAACCCTAAGGGCATGTATGCAGTTTTTTGATTTTGATTGAGGTCTGCAAACTGTCCATTAATAAATATTTTTGGATTGTTTGGTCCCTGGGGTTTCAGCTGGTTTGATCCACAAATTGAACAGACAAAACTGCTAAACTTTTTTGGGACTTAAGGATTGGGCAGATCATCTAAGGTAGGGGTGCTCAACCTTTTGAGAGTGAGGGCCACGTAAGTGATATGGTAACCGGTCGTGGACCACAATAAAATTAAATGGGTCAGAATTTAGAATTTTTTAATTTGAATAGCATAATAAACATTTTCCTCCTTCAGCTGCTGAATGGGAGGGAGAGGAGGAGAAGCCAGATTTTATCAGTTGCAGGAAGAAAATGGAGAGGATCAGTTCCTGTATGTGCCACTCCTCCTGTCCAAGTGTAAAACAGAATGCGATAGGGAGGCAGCATGGGTCCCCTCGAGCATGGGTTGGGGTCGCCATTGCAACCCTTGACACTACCCCAGTGGTTAGAAGGGGGAGTATGGTTAAAGCATGTCTCAACTATAGGGTTTTACTGAACCCCCAAACTGCAAATGTAAATTAGCCCCTACTGTCCTGAGCCCCTTATAAGGCTGCTTTCACACTGATGTGCTGCAGTTTACCTGCACCTTTGGCTTTCCTGTGGGTTAGCTGTGCTTTGTCATAGATTTCTATTATATCTTGCGGGTGTGGTGCACTTTTCTGAAAGTGCACCAAAACTCCTGTATTCAGTTTGAGGTGGAGGGCCACATCAGAGGGCTTGGAGGGCCACATTTGCCCCATGGGCCATAGGTTGAGAACTCCTGATCTAAAATAGATGTTATCATGTAGTGCATAAAGAAGCCTTTGAGTGGAAATCACGGTACTTTAAAATGTGTTCCCTTTTGTACCTCAAAAAAGTGAGATATTCACACACCACATGCACAAACACATTTCATTTACAAAGATTCTTCATTTTCAGTATACTTTATTTGTCCATATTTAATTTTGGAGGGATGGAAAATGATAAAATACTTGCCTGTTTGCTGTGTCTTGGGGAGATTTCCCTTTACTTTCTGTCATGAAAACAACAGAAAATGAGAAGAAATCTCTCCAAAGTGAGAACTATCTCCTATTTACCCATTGTAAAATTTCTCCTATGATGTATAGTCTTTGTCCTCCTGCCACACAGAACAGTGCATTGTGGTAGGCTGAGTGATCACATGACTGTAAGAAGGACAACAGAAAAAGGTATTGAATTGCCAGTTTTTAGAGAACAGTGTGTGTAGTGATCTGATGCTATCCATGCTGTGCATTTGCTGTGGTTAAGGTCCTTAGCCTAGCCATCTAATTCAAATAACTTTGCCGACTGCTAATGTTGTCCACAAAATATTCTAGATCTCCTGATCAGTTTGTGCATCCAAATTATCCTATATACATTTAATATAATTTCACAGCTACCACATTAAACTAGGTTTTCATAATGCATTTGGAAGGGACTGTAGCCCCTTACCAGCCATAGCGCGTACATGTTCCCTTTCTGCATACAATCCTTAGTAGCAGTTAGTGGGGTTGAAGTAGGGAAATTAATGTTTATCAGTGAAAAATCAGAAGTGTAGATAATTGGACCTCAGAGAGACTTTGGGGTGGGTTTACTAAAGGCATTTAGGCTGTTAACTGCGCAAGAAATTTTTTCCCTTAGCTTGGTGAATGTGCTGAAAATTAATTTTACAAAGAATACCAAATCATGTGCAGGGAAAAAAAAAAAAACAATATTTGCCTTGCACATTATTGGATGTTGGATGTCAACAGAGCTTCACCTCATTCACTAAATTAAGGGTCAATTTCCTTGCAAAGTAGGTAGTAAATAAACACATTTAGATAGCACTGATATTGCCTAACTTACAAAATCACAGGTTATTGTCGATTTTTATACAGCTTAGTGGCCACTCAAACAATCTCAGGGTGAGTAAAAAGATGCTTGTGAAAGTGGCTTATGTCAAATCTGTGTATTCTCATGGCAAACTTGTACCTTTTAATACATGAGTAAATTAAAGCTTTGCTCCTTTATCTTATAAAGACATATGAAGTAGGATAGAAAAGAGTAGTAGTGGAGTCATACCTTTTTCTTCATCACTGTCGGACAATTGGTGATGTACAAGCTTTGTGCGATCACTGTTGTTTTCTCTGGTCTTCTTTCCTGTTAGGCTAGGTTGTAAAGTGCTCATTTATGACCTAATATACGTGTTTTATTGTCAAGCTGCGAAGACATACAAAAGAAATAAACACGCAAGGTTATTGCTTACAGTACTCTGCTGAGAGTATGAAAAAGTTCAGAAGCTAGCAGTATTTATTGGCTGCCTGGATCTTTGGCAGGATCTATCTATCCATGTATTTGGTTGACTGTTGTTCATGCTTTCTAACATCTATTTAATTTCTTATAGAAGAACTACCAGCAAATAAGTATAGGAACATCTACTTACTGTACATGTATTTTGTTTTTTGGGTGCCCTCTTTATCAGAAAAGCTAATAATACCCAGTATAGTCCTGGCTGCTATGAGGAAAGAGTTGCTTGTAACAGGAAGGCTTGTCTCTGTGTCACATCAGAGTGATCTGAGTCATATCTAGTGCTATACAAATGCAGTGATGAAAGTAAGCAGCTGTGCAGTGGCTAGCTATTAGCTGGCACATCCAAGGTTTCTATCCGTGATTTAAAGCCTATCTCCAGGCAAATTTTGAACAGTTCCTTTCTCTCCTACCCACATTGATCCCACACCTACACAGTTTTCTGGATTCTTTAAATCCATACTAAGCCACTTTTAAATTGCCTGAATCTGCTCTCACATGACCCTCTGTGGAACCTCCTTGTGAAAAAAGACCAGGGATCCACTGTCGCAGTCCTGGCCAGATGCTGATCGGTCTTATTGGCACCCCTTGTTGTGATGTCATCACACCAGTGCTGGAGTCTTTAGAACCTGATTTTGGACCCAGTAGGAAGTGTCTACATCACCAGGCAGTGATATGGGCACCCAAAGAAGGACCCTTGCTCTATAGTGCAGAAAAGAGAAAATTCAGGACCCAATGGGGTTTATTTACTAAAGCTGGAGAGTCAAAAATCAGACTCCCTTCTGCATAGAAACCAATCAGCTTCCAGGTTTCATTGCCAAAGCTTCATTGAACAAGCTGAGGTTAGAAGCTGATTGGTTTCTATGCAGAAGGGAGTCTGATTTTGGACTCTCCAGCTTTAGTAAATAAACCCCAATATGTCACTCGACCACAAATTCAGGTGAGTATGTGGACCTTTTAGATTCCTTTTTTTAAGTACTAGAGTTATTAGCTAGAAGGTAGTGTGAGCTATTTTAGGAGTTGTACAGTTCCTCTCCCTGTTAAGTAGGGGACTTCCTAGAAGTGTTACTAATTCAAAAAGCAGAACAGCCATTCTGCAGAATGCAGTAGAAGTACCATAGATGAGGGCTAATATAATTGTATAACTCTGATAGGAGAATTACTGCAAAATCAAACCATCCCATAAATACAACTTATTTAATAAGAAAATGATAAAATTCAGAATAACCCTTATCAAAAATATTAGTAATAATAGTCTACAAATAATCATACATAAGACACAACTCATCCCATAAAAGTTAATGTTTAATCCCCAACATTATTCCCTGTATATACAAAGCCAACTACATACAGGTAAAACTCAAAAAATTAGAATATCATGCAAAAGTTAATTTATTTCAGTAATGCAACTTAAAAGGTGAAACTAACATATGATATAGACTCATTACATGCAAAGCAAGATATTTCAAGCCGTGATTTGTCATAATTGTGATGATTATGGCTTACAGCTCATGAAAACCCTAAATCCACAATCTCAGAAAATTCGAATATTGTGAAAAGGTGCAATATTCTAGGCTCAAAGTGTCCCACTCTAATCAGCTAATTAAGCCATAACACCTGCAAAGGGTTCCTGAGCCTTTAAATGGTCTCTCAGTCTGGTTCAGTAGTAATCACAATCATGGGAAAGACTGCTGACTTGACAGTTTTGCAGAAAACCATCATTGACACCCTCCATAAGGAGGGAAAGCCTCAAAAGGTAATTGCAACAGAAGTTGGATGTTCCCAAAGTGCTGTATTAAAGCACATTAATAGAAAGTTATGTGGAAGGGAAAAGTGTGGAAGAAAAAGGTGCACAAGCAGCGGGGATGACCACAGCCTGGAGAGAATTGTCAGCAAAAGGCCATTCAAAAGTGTTGGGGACTTTCACAAGGAGTGGACTGAGGCCGGAGTCAGTGCATCAAGAGCCACCACACACAAATGGATCCTGGACATGGGCTTCAAATGTCTTATTCCTCTTGTCAAGCTGCTCCTGAACAACAAACAACATCAGAAGCATCTTACCTGGGCTAAAGAAAAACAGACCTGGTCTGTTGCTCAGTGGTCCAAAGTCCTCCTTTTCTGATGAGAGCAACTTTTGCATCTCTTTTGGAAACCAAGGACCCAGAGTATGGAGG